TCTGATAGTGGCTTATGATAAAGAGAAAATGCCAGGAATAGTTGAGGTAGTTAAAATGAAGTGAAGTTTCAGACGCGCTGGTCGACCTTTGAGTGACTGTTGAGAACCTGACGAACCATCTGACCTTTCATTAAGGAGCCTCAGACACTCTTCTTTTCTCACTCCTAGACCTGTAACAAGTAAATCAATTAAGCACAACTAAATGCAATTATTATTAGTATTATTATGACCAATTATTCAAATGTTTTCCGTTCAATCTAGTAATCAATCAAATTAAACTGCATCCATGTATGTTAAACAATCAACTAATTTTGCTAACAGTCAGAGCTGAACCCAGTCACAGAGCACCAGCCCCTCACTGATCCTCCTGCAGGTGGTGAGTCCACAGGAGCTGAGATCTTTCAGTGGGAGCTTCAGGCAAAGTGGAGTTAAGTGTCTTGCCCAAGGACACAACGACAGCAGTCATCAGTGGGAGTCGTGAAGTAGGTCTTGAGGTGGGCTCGAACCCATGACCTTCAGGCTCAAAGGCCAATGCTCTACCAACTGAGCTACTGTCGACAATGCAACTAATCGCTTAATCAAATAAATAATAGGCCAGCTAATGGATTATACAAAATGAGTGTTAATGAGGCTAGTAACCTCCGCAAAAAATACTTTTGGTGACTAAAAGTAAAACATTCTTGACTAATAAAAGTGAGCAACTGTAAGACACATCCTGGAGAAACCGGTTTATTATAGGTCAGTTGTTTTTATCAACATGTTTTTCTGTTGGCTAAATGGCTCTGTAATGAAAGGATTGATTATTCAGAACTATTTATATTAATTTAACAAGACAGAAGCTAATATGTGTTTTCCAGTAAATTCCCGTAACTGATTGTGGACATCTGCTGTGTTAAGGACAGGGCTGTTGGGCCGTGTATTATGTCTGTGTATGTAATAGTGTATCTTGCCAAAACAATGATAATAATATGATGTTATGTTATTGGACTCTCATTTGGAGACAATAGATGCATACAGCAATGGGGAAAAAGACCCAAAAGCAAACAATTTCCTCATGTCTCTCTCAATGGCCTCACAATAGTAAGAGAAAAGGTAATAAAATGTGCACCTGAAACACAGTGATAAATGTTCCCGCACAGAAGAGGAACAGCAAATGTTGAAGCAATACAGTGCTATGGAAAAAGAGAGAGAATAATTATGTCCCTGCCTGTCTGCTGGACTGCTGATAAGAGAGATCTGAACTAGCAAGATGCTCATCTCTATTGCGTGTATGTGTGTACGTAATTGTGCGTGTGTGTGTGTGTGTGTGTGAGCGTACTGCTGAGCCATGTGACTAAAATGAGAGAAACCAAGGCATAAACCAGTCAGAAACAAAGGGGTAGAGCACAAAGACTGGGAAAACTTGAAAGCTAAGAATTACAAAAGGCACATGTTGTGAAGAAAAAAAACAAAAAAAAAACAATCATTTCGGTACATTCAAATCAGCACTTATTAATAATCCGCATAGACAATTCGCTGTCGGCTTCCACATAGGCCACAGTTAATGAGAATGAAACAGGAAATGTATTTGGCTGTCAGGGCTCCTGCGGTGATTGGGCTGTTAGAGGAACCAGCCGAGTGGCATGTAAAGAAATGGTGCACTCTCAGACAAATGGAATATCCTGCTGCATGCTTTCACCTTGTCATTGTGATTAAACGGAAGACGTGAGGAGAAATGTAAGAATGTCCCAATAAGAGCTTTTTGGCCGGATATGTCTAATAATAAAGGATGAATGTTAAATGGTGCTGAAAACCACCCAAAAGTCCTAAATTATAATGAAAGTCTATGGGTGAATATAATTTTAGCTAACTGTAAGTAATAACTGTTAGCATTACACTTCATATTTCAGCACACGGAGCCTCTATATAGACAAGAAATATTCAACATGTATAGGCCAGAAAAATTCAACATGTATAGGCCAGTTTAAATCCAAAATGCATGTTGAATGAGATTGCTTTTCCAAATTTAATAAGCACAACTGGTCGGAACAGTAAGCTAGTCTTTTATTGTGGGCTCTGAAATGATGTTCAAACATTGCTGATAACTTGCATTGATCGTGTATTTATTTATTTGAATAGGACGGTGTTCTAAAATGAAAAGTTCTCCCCGACAAACAACTAAAAAAAAACTTGTAAATAAAAAGGTCTCCGGTTTGACCCCATTACAGACTTTCTGTTTGGATCTGGACGGGGCAGGGGTCAGTGTGCAACAGTCAAATATGAAAAACAACTCTTACAGAAACTTCAACCAAACGACAGAACCTTGAGTGTATAAAGCAGTCTTTCAAACGCTCTAAGCACCAGCCTGGTGCGGTCTGTTAAGTGCTTCATTATTTTTCATCATGTTTTAAAGCCAGTATCGCTCTAATGCCACCTGGAACTTGAAGCGGAGGCAAATCAGAAGAAATTAGCACATGCAATCTGCAAACACACAGCCACACATCACAGTCTGGAGCCGAAGGGAGTCGTGACTCACAAGTCGTGTGCTCGGAGCTGAGAGACCGGTCAGGACTCTGCGACAGCCACTCTGCCCTTATCTGGAGTCACACCTGCAAGTCTTACAGCAACTCATCTCTGACTCACTCACTGTGGCCTGGGCACATGAGCTGCAAGGTCAGCAAGTGGGAATAAATATATCAAAATATCAAACTTGTGTAACAGACGACAATGTATAAAGATTAATCAGAGACCAAAACTTCTATAAACGTTGATTCTCTGATATGTGTTGGTGATTTCAATGGTTTTGTTAAGTCCTCTGAGATGACTTCTGTTGTGATTTAGGGCTATACAAGAATAAGTTGTATTGTATTGTATTGTATACAGTTTGAATACAAATGCTCGTTCCTTTGTTATGCATTATTTATCATGTGTAAATGTCTCTCTGCATGGCCAAAAAGGGCTGTCCCTGTCTGCTTCTGAAGCAGAAAATGGAGGTCAGCATCATATAACTAAGGCCTTGGAAAGAAGCACTGATGGCTGCCTTGGCCCCGGAAGTTAACAGTTCATTACATCTTCAATCGGCCCAAATGACTTTGGAAGGACAAGAAAAAGCCATGCATTCACATTCAAACTTTACACTCTAAGTCTAATGTTTCCCTCAGCTACAACGTTGGGGTGCTCAAAGCCTTTCTGCCCAAACTCTCTGAACAAAGGGTAAAATTCAACAATCACATTTCTGTATTTGTGGACCAGAGTGACATAACTTTTAGGGGCTCTTTGTTTGCCAGGTGATGGCATGATCTTGTGTAAAATGAACTATGTTATTTATTATGTGGCATGTTTATTGCAATGGATACACATGTTTGAAAAGTTACATGTAAAACCAAATACCAGAAAATTAACTGGAGAGTTAAAATGTAAACTGCAAGGATGTGTGAGTGGGCAACAAGGAGTTAGGAATGTATAAAGGTAGACATTGTCACATGTGCCCCACTTATACGCTAATGCAGCTTCCTGGGAGTTTCCTTTTACAAAGCACTTAAGTGTGTGACTTTTTGAATGTTTTATAGATAAAGAGAATTAAAATGATTTTCACAATCAACATGGTGTGACAACACGATCAAAATACAAAAGCAACAGTTTTCCAAGACCCAGACTTTTACTTACAGTAACGCCTGTGCTCATTTTCAACACCAGATCCCAAAATGGAACAAAATAGTTTGAATGGACTTGCTTTCCCAAATTCTAAAACCAAGAGGGCTATTTTACAATATCCTCCTTCATTACAGCTGTACACCCAACAGTTTTATGATAGCCATTTGTCCTGTGTCATGTTAATACGGTGCATTAGATTATTGCTACAGCCTTGTTCCAAACGGTGGTGGCTCCCTCAAAGATGTTTGGCTTCACTGTGTAATTAATTTAACCTTTCTCTTACTCCATCTGAGCCCATGTCTCCATCTCTCTGTCTCTAGGTCCGTCTGTCCTTGTTTATGTCTCGCACACCCGCCTATTAAAATTTGCCACTTTAGAGAAAATGGTAATTTATTACTGACCAGGAAAAAGTGTCCTTTTCTTTATGTAATATTGGATTTTTCATAGTGATTGGCAGTCACAATGAATAAGTGTGAATGGAGATGACACAACCATTACCGTGACATATCACTGGTGAGAGATGTTGCTGCCCACTTCCAATTTAAATGAGAATAAATGAATCTTGTCAGCATTCTGTTGATACCTCCAGCCATAAAATACTGAATCTTGCACTCCTCATTGCCCTGTTAGCATTTCAACAATTGGCGTCTCACGATTTGCCCATACAAGACGAGATAAAAACGTTGACATGATCATTTACATGGAAAGTTTCATTCCATCAGCTTTATTTGGGCTGGAGGCGAAACACCTGACTCAGGTCGGATCTGAAGCGAGAGCATGTACACAGTGTACAATACTATTGTATTGTAGAGACATGAATAACATCATTATTGCACATAAGCATTTTTTATATTTAGAAAAAGGTGATTAAGCAAAGAGTGTTTCATTTTAGGTGTTTGTGCAGCGCTGAAAAGGCTTGCATCTTCACAGACCTGACTCGTAAGCCCCTGGATCTGGATGAGAGCCTTCTACTGCTTGCTTCCATGGAAATGATATCCCATTGACTATAATCTCTCGCAATGGCCCTCACTAATCTGATGTTTAACGTCTGACATTACTTTTAACAAGGACTAATGTATTTTTATGGAACCATGTAGACAACATGCCGTCATGCAGAAAGTTGCTGTCTTAACCCACAATAGTCCTGTAAAGTGACATAACAGATGTAATTGTTATTTGTATCAATAGACCTACATTATATTAGGCTCCTTTAACTGATAGCATTGTGTTATCCGGGTTTGTGTAATACTAGTCTGCAGCTTTTACGCACTTCTCCAAATAGCTCCAAGCCCAAACCTCGCCAGGTTGAACCAGTCAGTCTGCTTGTGGGACCCCAAAGGACGAACCAGTACCGTGTCCCGAGCCCGATGAGCGCAGATAAGGTCCGGAGGAGGCGGTAATGACTGGAAAGACAGCAGCATTGCGCGCCTCCCTCTCCTCTCCACTGCTCTGCGCGCGCCTGCAGCTGTCCACAGCGCGTCTCCCACTGCTCAGAACAAGCCAAGCAGCGACCAAACATTTACCCACGGAGCGCAACAGGGAAGCAGTGGAACTTTCACACGATTACAGGCACTTTCACTGAAATCTGTGCGGAAACCCTAAGCACCAGCAGCTCGTAACGCCCCTGCGCATGTGGATTTTAGGAATGTGGAATACAACACTTGAACGGTGAGTAACCATTCCTGTCACCACGTCTGTACCTCTTTCAACATGCATACAGCTGTTGTTGCTCTGTTTCAGTTTAGAATCGAAAACTTTAGAAATGTCTGTGCATGTGTAGACTTGACTGTGCATGGCCTAATCGTCACACACTGTTGCCAACCTGCGCGCACTACTGCTTAAAACGAAACTACGTGTGGAGTAATCATTAGCTTCTTGTTATTATGTGTCACACAGTAAGAGGACGTGCCCCTGACGCCATGAGCGCGGACCTGAACTTGACCTCCCTCTTAAACGTGACGGAGCTGCACAACCACAGCAGGGGAGGATGTTCGCTCACCAAGACGGGCTTCCAGTTCTACTACCTGCCCACCGTTTACATCATGGTCTTCATCACGGGGCTGGTGGGCAACAGCTTGGCCATATGGATGTTTGTGTGCCATATGAGACCCTGGAGCAGCATCTCAGTATACATGTTCAACCTAGCTCTGGCTGACTTCTGTTATGTGCTCTCCTTACCTTTCCTCATCTTCTACTACTTCAATAAAACTGACTGGATATTCGGGGATGTCCTTTGTAGACTGCAGCGCTTTATATTCCACGTGAATCTATACGGGAGCATTCTTTTCCTCACCTGCATCAGTGTGCACAGGTACACCGGCGTGGTCCATCCGCTCAAGTCCTTAGGTCGGTTAAAGAAGAAAAACGCGGTCATAACCAGCGCGTTAGTTTGGGTTGTAGTGATTCTCGCCATATCCCCCATTCTCTATTACTCCAGAACTGGCTTGAAACGCAACGCCACCACCTGCTACGACACCACGACTGAAGACGAGCTTCCCGGCTATTTCATCTACAGCATGACGTTGACTGTGTTCGGCTTCGTTATTCCCTTTATAATAATCTTCTGCTGCTACGGAATGATCGTCAAAGCCTTAATCTGCAACGATATGAACAACGCGCCGCTCCGACAGAAATCCATCCACCTCGTCATCATCGTTCTGGCCGTGTTCGCCGTGTCTTATTTGCCGTTCCATGTGATGAAGAATCTCAACATGAGGGCGCGGCTGTATTTCCAGAGCCCGGACATGTGCGAGTTCAATAACCGCGTCTACGCCACGTACCAGGTGACGCGTGGGCTCGCCAGTCTCAACAGCTGCGTGGATCCTGTCCTGTACTTCCTGGCGGGAGATACGTTCAGGAGGAAATTGTCTCGCGCCACGAAAAAGCCCTCGAGGAAAGGGGACCATGTGCTGCAGTCCCGGAGCGATGATACGGCCCTGCACAGCTTGGCGGAGTACGTTGAGAATAACGGAGAGCGCAAACTTTAGACAGATTTAGACTCACAGCCTGTAAAATTCCTGTAAAGGGGTTTTTTCCAGGACCATCTCCAAAAACATTCCAGTGTCTATAGATGCGAGATGAAAGCCTTATTTGTATAGATGGCCCTAAAATCACATCATTGTTGATGCACCTAAAGATATTCAACAAATCAAACCGGGACAAGTTTCTGCTGAATTAGAACATTTGGTATGTTTGAAGTCCCAAGCTTAGTTAAATGGAAATGTGTTCAAGGAATGAAAAAAAGTGTCCATTATATATTGTAACAACTATTTTGGTTTGGTTGCAATACAGTCAGTGAATGTAATATCTGCCATTAGTGAAAAGAACAATCAACCCAAAATAAAATCCAATCCACACTTCAAGCTTCCACAAAAGATGGTAAAAATAAATTCTGTAAAAACACTGAATGCATAATTTATAACCACCCTATCTTTTTACTCATATTCTGGTCCTGGAAATCACCTGAAGTTGTTACATAAATGCCTAGAACACAAAGAGGTCAAATCAACAGTGATAGTTTTGGGATGAACTGCTGTTGCACACACACATACGTATTTCAGATAAGATAGACACAATGGAGAAATACACATGTCACACATTTATGAAGGCTTTTGGCTGACGCTACTGTAAGCTGCTCTATATAATGTATAAATATAAAAAGTTTCTCCCTCTTCCATCCGTTCCAACAAGTGTTAAACAGAACTAAACTAAAGGACGAGCCGTGATGGAGGGATTCTGTTTCTCCCAGAGACAGGTTTTGGACCTGAGCACCTTTTCTTGGACACTAGATCAATAGTTATGATGACGCAGATGGGGCGCTGTGGCCGAGGGGTTGAAGCCTGTGGGACAAAGTGAAAGCACTGAAGCTGCAAAGGAGTGCAGCGTTTCTAATGCACTAACACTGAGGACTGAGTGGGTACCTTCTCTCATGTATTTACTGACTTCTTTGGGATTAGACAAAAATTTACTATTATCACAAGGGCTTGACATTAACAATTCGCTCATGGCTCACGGCAGGATTTGGGAAGCTTTTCATTATTAAGGCTTTTGTGAGAAGTAAATGAAGAAAATGGTGGGATTTGGTGCGCGTATTAAATAGAACTTGCTGAGAATTGATCAGAAATTTTAGTTTATGTGAGAAAGCGGACAGAAAAAGCCCATACTATAACATGGTATATTATTTAGTCTTGTGTGATTTCTTGTCAAAAATTGATATCTGATACTATTAAAAAACCAAAGCACTATAATAACACAAATTATGTGTTTTTGTGTTTTGTTTTTTTGGTATTTTTTAGCCCCTAGTTTTTACTATTTTTTTATTATATGCCTTTACCAAAAGATTGAGATGCAGTTTTATGGTAACAGTTCTCAAAACCAAGTGAGATGGCCCAAAGAGGTAGGTTTCAGTTCCCAGCATGCTTAAAGTAGATATATACAACTCAAAAAGTGATCTACCAAATGGTCGAGGAAACCATTAAAGGGATAAATAAACATTTTATCAAGGCGCAATATTCTCCCCCTTGAACTGTAATTAGTAGCCCAATAATTTCCCATGACAGATACGATAGGACGCTCGGGCTAATTGCACGGTGTCATCACAATAAAAGATGCCTTGAGCTTATGAATGCCCAATTGTTAACGTCAAACCCAGCTTTGATATTCTATTTATCTTCATCTTTTCCTTGCAAACTTAAGAAGATATTACTTGCAGTATTTGTGCGTGTGATCATGTGATGGATGTTTTGAAGATGTTGTAAAGAAACCCTTGTTCTGAAGTCGCTAAGCAGTACCTTTAATTGCATGATCAGATGTTGTCAAGTATAAAAAATCACTAACAACAGTGTGAAATATGTAATTTAGACAATCACCTGCATCCATGTAATGAAGACACTCTGTACTTTTATGAGATACCTCAAATAACTACTGCACTGCTAGTGTTTGCGTGGACAGAAGTCAAAATAATGTCATATTCGTTAGATATAATTGTGCAGCTTTTTGTACAGTGTTATTGAAAACTTGTAGGTGCTCGATGTCTGATCAGGCAAAACATTACGAACCAAGACATAGAGTGGCACACCGATTCCTTTCATCAAATCCTATTGTAATGAAATACTTTCCAATTTGGTTTTAGTGCTGATTTATGAACCGGGAAATTAGTTATGTCATCAACAAAGACAGGAGCCCTAATATTGCGATGCCTAGTTAAATGTGTCATCTTCATTATTACTTAGCCATTACTTTTTTGTTATTTAGAAGGAAAAACACTTTGCTCGCTCCAAAAGAAAACACAAAAGTTTATAGATTCATTTTTATTAAGCCTAATATAACACCAGTATTCAGCGCCATGTGTTGCATAATGTTTCGCCTGATTGATGTATAGCTTTGTACAAAAAGACGTGAATATGGAAGAAAATGAATTGTGTGTACATAGTAGTATCATAGCCCACTATTCTTTGTCAATAAATTTTGTATGTAAACAACAGGCCGCGTACTGTATATATCCCCAGCTGCCTTGTCTCTGCATCGATACCCTATTTGTCGTTGCCGTGAGGAAGTCGCAGTCTATGGGGAAGGAATAAAAAGTGGCACCTCTCCTTTGGCTTCACGTATGACAACGACACGAGCCTATTGAAGCAGACAGCAGTGTCCGTAACCCAGGGCACTGCATTAGAGTGGGCACAGGAAACACACCAAAAACCTCTCCATCCTCACTAGTCCTGCTGAATACTAACGCCTTTGATTTCTTGGCTCAAAGATGCGAACTGCAAAAGCGAGCCTGGCCAACAGCTCCGAGCCAAGGCCTTCTCTGAGTAGGTGGAAGTTGTGGCTGGATGCACTTGTTTTCTGCCATTACAGCTGCTGTTTTTATTTGGGATAGAAGATTGAACGTGTTGCACAAAAGCAATAGCTACATACCCAGTGTAAGTGCATTTGACTCCGTGTCAGATCTTGACTTGGATGCGTGCCAGGATCTCCTCCCTCTCTGCAGTTGACGCTTTTGTTTTTTGCAGCCACCTTTCACCTCTTTCTCTCTCAGATGTTCTTTCTGAAGGCTGCTTGTGAGGCAACAATTAACTACACACTTTGCGATCGTTTAGAGACAGTGCTTGAAAAGAGAAAGCATGAATAACCCTAGTATACTTATACAGAAATGAACAATACAGTCTGCAAAAGTCATCTGAATGGCTTTATTCTAATATTTTTGTTTACATCCATGAGCACTCCGTATACTTCTGTGTCTACAATGTTCATCCATCCATCCATTTTCTTCCCCTTAATCCAGTCCTTCTTTAATAAGGAAACATTTTATATTTTCACATTGTTGAGTTATTATGGGGCGCTTTGGGCTGATAGATGATTGGCTGAGAAAGTGTGGTTATTGATCCACCTCTGCCTCTAAAGAAGTTGAATTAAAGCTGTGCTCATACAAAAAAATATATTGATAATGCATTTGAAACCCACCAAACAGTTTGTGAGCAATGGTTGAGCTTAAAATACATACTTTTATTTACGTCACTTTAAAAATGAACTTCCTCAGCTCTATTGTTAAAAGAACAGTAGGTGTTTTTTCGTTTGTACATCTTTATATGTCCTCAAAAAATACTGTAGGTTGTTCAGAACAGTGGACTTCTTAATTAAAAATACAATGGGCACAATGTTATGTTTACGATTTCCAAGAAAATTATCCAATCAGAGAGCAGAATGAGTCTCATTTGGATGGCCAGTTTGTTGAAATTTAGCTGATTTTATCTTTTTATTTTTTGTATGAAATTCACTGAAAAAATGTATGAAACCAGGTGCTACTTACTAATAGTGCGTATTACATTTCTATTTAACTATTCCTACCTATTCCTATTCCACACTTGTAAAATGCTGTGTAAAATACTACAGTATGTATGCTATGATAATAATACTACTGCTTCTGCATGTATGGTTTCTGGCATAAACCGCTATTCACAAAGGCTTACACGGGACTGGACAGACAAGTGTGTGTTTGCCTCAGATGGATTTAAGTCTCTCTGAATGTCTCCCATTAATGTAAAAAACGAGGGCTTTGTGCGCGTGAATTTACAGTGGGAGCCCAACACCACATCTATCAGAGCGAGGCACCCCAACTCACCACACAAAAAGACCCACGTTACCAAGGGAAGGTCCTGGCATGAGCTTGTGACAGGGAAAACGATCACAAGATGCAGAGATGTGGTTGTGTTTGGTTGTCCCTGTGCACATACAGATCACTGTGTTTATAATGAACTTTAATCTTGTGTGACTTGCGAGCGAAGCAGCTGTTGAGCGTATTTGTACACAGAAGTACTTGGATTGCAAGTCGCTCCGTCAGGTCACAGTATCCAGCTGCTCCAAGCAAACATTTTAAGAAAACATTTTGTTCAGTAATAGCATTGGTTTACCTCCTCTGGGAATGTACCTCAGGCGATACAGTATAGATTCATTATTAGGAGCAAGCGCCGTGGCTGCATTTACAGTATGTGCAATCTCGCTTGTGCTTCAACATTGTTTGAGATGTATATAATGACATTTGGGCTTCAGAAATACTGCATGCAATCACTTACTCTTAGTATTAAGTTGGTGGAGTAGGATTCTGCCTTAATAATCTCTTTTTCTCACTAATGTTCTGTAATGGTCACGGCAACACTGCAATTCCTCACAGTATGTAAAATATGCTATTAGTGGTCTAAAAAAAGTTATTACAATCATAGTCCAACTTTTGTTGCCAGAATCTTCCTGTCTGTGACATATGTAACTCTGATTACTGAGGGAAACCACCGGCTGGAGTTTGACTATAAATGGTACAAACTCTGCGTATTACTTATGAATACTAAACCAATATGTTGTCCTATTTTTTGTGTGTGAATGTTTTTATATATTAACTGCTACATTTCACTTGCTCCCCAAACTAAACTCAGAATAACTCTACTTTCAACTGTTCAGAAAAGCTCAATTATGATGTGTACATGTTGACCTATTA